TACACAATAATAATGATGTATTTAGATACAAACCGATATGAATATACATGTACATAATCTAGCTTCCAGACTTATCAATCCGGCATATTAATGCTGTCAGTCTTAATAAGTTATACATATCATTAAAATGAAATTGGTTCCCTGTGGATGTGATTCGTAAAAATATATCAATAACCCAAATATTTTACACTCACTTGATTTAGTTATTTAATTTCTTCACACCAACTTCAATTAACAAAGCTTTTCAGTAAAATGTCGCTTCAATCTTGTTTTATTTCAGTAATCTCTTATATATCAGTTATGAGTCCGCTTCGCAGGAATAATAATGGCTGTGACTAAAAAAGGATTGGAGCACCACACTAAATACCGTATTCCGGTATATACCGGACAAGGCGCTTGAATGATAAAATGATAAAATCTTGTCTTTTTACCCAACGGAATGAACTTTAACAGGTCTAATTCATCTTTTCACACCGAATCAAGTACGATAATCAAGGGAAAATATAAAATTCGGCGAAAAAGAACGATATTTGTCTATTTTTGATCATGATTTCTGCAAGCGTCTAGAGGTACTGCTCCAATCCTGTATTGAGCTAAATCCAATAATAATATCTGTCATATGTTGCGGTTCGGACCGGAATATCCGTCCCGAGGGGACCCGCCCATTGGGCGGTAACGAGGCTTGCTGAGTTACCGCCCATGGGCGGGTTCCCGAGGGACGGATATTCCGATCCGAACCGCAAACATATGAAAGATATTTTTTCTTGCATATTCTGCCATATTATTTCATATATAAAATGGTTTACCTCAATACGATATATGTTCATGGAAATTAGAGTCATTTCATCCATAACTATTTTCTTACAATAGCGCATGAACTTACAACTTAAATAACAACGGCGAAAAGACGTCATCCTAAGCACATATTTCCCTTCTAAAACGACGTCATTTTAACGCGGTTCATTCATAAAGTGCGCTAAAATTACGTTGTTGTTTGGCACGCGACTCATCTGGCACCCCCGTGCCAGATGAAATTTCCGGCATGGATAAAACTCACGGAAACGCCAGAATGTGCCTTCTGGACCGGGTTGTTCAAAACATTGATTAAAATTAACAAATGGATAGCTTATCCACTGGCTAAATCCTTAACCAGCGGCCAGCTATCCAGTGGGTTCAATAGTTGGATAGTACACTGGCTACCTCACCAGTGGATAGCGTATTTATCCACTGGTTAAGTACCACAATGCAACAGGGTTGGTTAGTGATTCTGTAAACAAAATGGCCGATTTTTTGATGAATAATGAATTTATTAGAATCAGAAAGCTCCCAAAAATAATTTTGCATGTTTTTGTGCTTTTGAACAAAAAGTATATCAGAGGCCTTAAAGTGTTGATAGATTTATTTTTCCCTTAGGCACACGTAAGAAAATGATCAAAAACATTTTTTTTTTCAAATTTTGAATTGAAATTACTTCCATTAGATGGGTAATGTTCTAACTAAGAAAATGAGTACTGACACTTCTATGTTTTATTAATGAATAAGAAAGTTATGACTGTTTAACTGAATTTTCTGAACTACAACAACAAATTTAGATTGAAAAAGGGTTCTTAAAGCACTTTTTTAGAAATGTTTCAATTTAATCCTATGCATTTCATATGAAATGTTCTAGTTAAGAAAAATAAACATATATTTGTAAGAAAAATCTGGTTTTAAAACAAGTTTTAATTATTTTTACTGTTTTAATGATGATGACTAACCACTGGTTAAGGGCATTATCCGGTTGTCATAGGACTGATTAAAGTTTATCGCTGGATAACGCATTTTATCCGTTGAATAAGTTTTGAGCAACATAATTTATCCAACAGACAAAATTTAACCAGCGGATAATGAATTTAACCACTGGTTAACACTAACCAATGTTTTGAACAACCGGATCCTGGAATCTAGATTCGAAAAAGTCTCGAGATGACTTTGAGTTTTGAGAAATGCCTGGATGACGAGGCTAATCTTTTTAGAGGCAAATTTACCCATGAATTATTATTCCGGGTAAAAAAGCTTGCATCTTTTAGCTCGATTATTTGGGGAATAAGCATAGCCATTGAATTCATCACGGTGTCGATGTCACTGTCACACATTTGTTTTTGTGTGCAAATTGGCACCTCTAAAGCTATTCAAAGGAATTTATTGAAACTTTACACATTTGCTCTGTGTGCTTATCTAACATTATAGTCACAGGTCACTGTAAGTCCGAGTAAGTTTTATTACAGTTACGCTCCATTTTTTTTTACTGTCGAACAATAAGAATAGTCGAGCTCGCTTTCTTGTGGACAGCTCTTTGTTCTTTGTATTATTACAGTTCCTGTATAATCATCCGAAAAATTGACTACATATATATACCGTGTATGTTTTAATCAAACCAATTTTCCTCTCAACTCCATAGTGGTTCTTTCTCTTGTTTTCTATCTCGTCTTCTTTGCTCTTATTACTTTTTCTTCAATACGCATGTTTTAATAAATACTCTCAATATACTAGTTAAATAGATCAACGCTAAACTAAGCAAAGTATCCCTTTAAAAATGAATTCTGACTCGTGCTTTATACCTCAAATCGAATACAATCGGATCTTAAAGTTAGTTCATGAATACTTATTATAAAGATAGCATGTATATGATAAAACGGTAAGCACAAGTCAATATGATATGTATAGTTTAGTTCATATATTTAATTAATATTGTGTAACTATTTATTCGAAATTTGTTAAATACTGATTACAGAGAGTTTCAAGCTTTTCAAGCTTCCTACTCAATCCGTAATTTTTTTATGTACCTTATTATGTAAATGTAAAGATTATAAATAAATATTGTTTAAACTAAACCAATCGGCGGCATTTGATTCACTCATATTTTCAGAAAATTACAAACACATTTTATAAACAGAAATATGGAGGCGAATGGTAAATAAGCGGATAATTTATTAATTTTACTGCTTTTTAAGAGTATCCAAACAAACTCATGTTTGTATATAGAAAAGATTTATTTGACTATTAAAGGAAATTGAGAATAGTTATAAAACGCATTGGAGTCTGGTTACTCTGGTACATGTGTCACGTGATTCAATTATTGATATAACTCTCTGGTGTGCCGTTATATCTGCAGGAATTTCAAGTGTTTATTACAAAACTGTTTGCCAACATTCATAATTAACTTAGAAAGGCATGTAGAACCATGATATATAACGCGGAAAATGTAAAGTAAACAAACCTTATTGAAAACTTGTTTCCACAAGATATAAATTTAAATAATAATAAATAAAACGTATCCATATGAACTTTAAAGAATAATGGAAAATGGAGAGCTTAAAGGTCGTCTGTCGTCATCAAACATGTCTAGATTAGGCTTCGTAGACGGCTACAACCCCGCCCCCTGCTCCATTATAACATCTAAATTCACATTTTCAAATATGAATTTATGTTAACTGCGGGAAAAAATGCTGTTAAGTTGTAACTGAATTTTGAACTGGAAAGATGCTTTTGATTCTTTTTTTTATTTTATTAAAAAGTAATCGTTGTATTCATTTGTTTTTGTTTTGCTCTATAATGCTCCAAGCCCTCATGACCAATGTCATGAAACCAATTTTTGTGAATTATTGCGTTGGTTCATTGCTCCCATTATCTTACTTTGTTCAGATTTTAGTTTTCGCGACAAGAAGGGAGTCGTCTGGTGCCACCAGGTATATAGGGATTCTTGTTAAATCAGCCAGACAACCCTCATGTACAAGATTAGACGATGTCTGTATACTTCTGCGAGATATTGGCTTTTTTATATTACAACAACAGCACTGCTTTTTGGTAATACCACTATTTCAGAGCGTACCCCCCCCCAGATAATCTTAAAAATACTATTTAGGCAAATAGTAAATAGTATATATAGTACCTTTGTATACGTATGTATTTGTATACTACAAAGCTTGGTAGATTTCATTTTCATTTCAATATGAAAATCTTATAGAATATTTTATATCCAAAGCAAAATAGAAGTCGACAGTTTGTTCTTCATAGGAATATTTATGCTAAAATAAAAATAATAAATATTTCGATATGAATAGAATTTCTTGAAACGAAATACGTTATATATAAGAAAAGAACAACTAAAGCATTTTTTCGCAACATGTTTATGATTTTATTTTAAACTAATGAAAGCCCTTGTTATAAAAAAATTATTACATATTCATTAATTGTTATTTTTAAAGCATTTTATCAAACCAATGAAGTAAAATTGGAAAGAGAAGGTCTTGAAAGCACGACAATATGACGAAATATCTTCAAAAAATCATCTCCATCTGTAAACCAAATATCCTCTCAGAACATATTTATTAGAAATGCTGATAATGTCTTTGGAATATAATTCTTTACAGGTGTAGAGATGATATCAAGATTTTAACCAGTTCACAAACATTAAAACATTATGTTTTCACGCTAAAATTATTCATATTGTAAAATAATATACAAAGTGCGATAAATAACTGCTGGTTCTCTCTGAAATGTTTTGTTTTCTAAATGTAATGTAATTCACATTTTAGATACTCTACAGGAAAGGCACATTAAGATACCTTTTACTTGTATAATGGTATGTTTATTTGTATAACACTGAATTATTTGTATAACACTGAATTTTTACAAATTTGAGTCATATCTCGGCGGCGACTTTCTGAATAACAAACAAGTAACTGCAATTTCTCTGCATTTTTTTTTTTGCGTTTTGGCATTCAGTACAATTGTAGTGAGAGGTCAAAATATCATTGTTTACATGTTGATACTTTGACGATAAATTATTATACATTTAGAGCTACTATTTTATTATTACATGCCTTTTAAATTATTATATAAACAATACAAAACACATGTTTGAACTCTCTCAAGAAGAAAAATGTATTACTTCTGAAGCTGAATGCCTTTTAATGTACGTGGTAAGCTTTAATATTGAAAAAAATATAAATAAGATATTTTTGATTCAAAATTTAAATCTTTAAAATATGTATAATAATAATAATGTTCGTCTGATAAGTGTTTATGTGTTTGTGTTCCTTTCAGCCAAACCGTCCAGCATTAATCATCAATATCGTTGTAGGATTGGCTCTTGTTGTTGTTGCAAATCTGAAAAGAAAACATTTTAAGTTTGTTTGTAAACATAAAAAACACCAACAATATAAAGTATCTACACAAAGTAATTGTGCTTGTCATATCATAGAGATTTATGAATTATGAAGTTTATTATTATTAATATTATATATATAATATCAATTTATGAATTTATGAACAATTGACATGTGACTTTAATAAACATTACAACAAAGAAAGACAGTATAATCCAATATGGGTATATCGTAATATTTCATTACAACCATATCAACAACATATACAAAACACACAATTGAAAGTACTTAACGTACATATAGGAGTGACCCTTGTTGTTATGCCAGATCGTCTTATCTTCTCAGCCACAAACATTGCCCCAATAAAGAGAACAACTGCAGTCAACGCTGCTGATAACGGTATCACTATACTTATCACTGAAGAAGAAAACTTTTCGCCTTTTTCTTTATGTGTCAAATGATATTCCCAAGCTGACTGACTCGACTGGTGCTTGATTTTTCCTGCATAAGCAACGTCTTCATCTATTAAACCGTCATTATCGTCATCAACTTTGTTAAGTTTTTCTTCGTCAATTTTGTTATCACAGTCGTTGTCTAAACCATCTCCATTCCCGCCATTTGAAGGCTTTGTTTTTACGCATGCGCTATAAAGACTTGTTATACGCATACCTAGAGAGTATTCATATGCGGAAGTGTTGTCTCTGCGTACAACAGTTCCATAAAAAGGCACTGCATTATTAGCATTTGTATGTAAAATATTAGGTCTAAATACTTCGATTTTTGTGCGAATGAAATAATTCCACCAGTAGGTCATTGCGTCATCAAAAGGGTTATCTGTGGTTGCATTAAATGAAATATATTTAAAGCTACTCGAAGTTGAAATTAAACTGACGTAAACTGAATCAACTGAGTTAAATGTGAATGAGGAACTTGAATGATATAATTCAACAGGTACCAGAAACGACAGCGCCATATGGCCAACACTTTGAGTATCGATTAGTTCATACAAAACAGCACAGGCAACGGAAGAATTTGTTTCTATGGAGAGGAAGTCACTTAAGGCAAGTTGCATAGATAAGACTGGCGTGTTCAGAAACGTTTTTTCTGCAGACGTATCTTTTGTTTTTATTGTTATAACGGTATTGAGCTGTAAGCCTGAAAATAAACATAACGCTTCGATAAGTGGAATACATATACTTAACACTTGGGGAAGTAACATAATGTAAAATAAAAACAAAAATGAAATGAATCTACATATGATTGTAGATACAAAATGGCTACATTCCTAAATAACCTTTTATACATGGTGGAAATTCAAATAATAAGATTTATATTATTTTGGTATAATTTTTATATGTTTACATTTTATATCATGTTTGTAAGCTTATCATATATGTCACGTTTTGATTTAATATCGTTTTTGCAAATATATTAGTATAAAAGTTTATAAACATTCTCGGCAAGCATTATTTAAATAAAAGGTTTAAGAAGCACTCGCCAAGTAATCAAGTTTAGACTATACAAAACATGACAATTATGTAAGGATGATTTTGTAAATATAGAATAGCATGCATCGCATGTATGAATTAGTACATATACATGTATATGATTACAGTATTTTACGGATCAAAAGAAAGATAAAATTGCATGAATTAATGCATGATACCAACAATGAAGCATATCGTTCATTCAGAACAAAATGCAGTACTTAATAGTATACTATATTGATATGCTAGGAAAACAGTTTAACAACTGTGCCTACCAGTAATTTTCACAGTTACGTTTTGAGCAATCAAAGATGAATGAGAGAAAATGAATTTTCTTCCCCACGTGTTCTTAGCTTGAAGTTGTTCCAACACCACAGAAGAAAAGCTAGTGTCAAAGCTGCCGACGAGTACACTAATTGGAAGAGCGGAATCTACTGTAGCACCGGTAAGATCGCAAGAACATTTTATCCCAATGACTCCACTTGCAGGTAAGGAAATGTTAATTTTTGAGCCTCCTCCGTATTGTGTTCCGCTAATTGAAACTTGAGATTGGATACCCTGCGGCAATGTTAATTCCACATATGAATTATTGCCATGTATCACCATAAAGGACTCTGATAATTTGGACGTAGTTATTGACGTTACTATATAATTATAGCCAAAAGCATCTGAGGGTATCAATATATAACTATCGTCTTTATAATCTATGTACACTGACACTTCTGCTGTTGCTTTCAACAGAAAACCTGAAATATAGTTATACAGTCATGTTCATATTGTTCTTAACATTTAAGCCATAAAAGCTGCTCTGATATTTTTATTGAAACTGATAAAAGTCAAAATACATATTAAACTTTTGGCAACAACTATCAGAACTAGTATTTAAGAACAACGACTTTCAACCTTCCGACTTGAATAAAAATGACATATCAAATGAGTTACGCATCGTTATAAATGAAAATGAAAATACCTGTAAGTATAACAATTATGTTTCAATTATAAATATCAATATCTACCCATTGTTGTTGGAGACTCCCATACAAATTGATTGCAAGCAAGTTGTAAATGTAGACTATCATTTGCTCTAATCTCGAATGATGAACTCGAGGAATGATCCTGATCAATCAATGATTCCAGCGTGACATTAACTGCTTCCGTTGATTGGGGAATTACGTGCATTTTTGCAGGATTTTCATTAGAACAAAACGGCGTTGAAAATTCGAAGCTTGTACCTTTTGTATCTGGTACTGGAACTGCAGAAACATATAATATTATATTTAGAAATTTGTCTTGATTATGGATTTTCCATATTTTCTTGATCAACAGGCAATGAAATGAAAGCAGTTGTAATTTATCTATTAATATATAACTGAATGTCACGATACTGCTGTCATGTTCATCATTAGATAAAGATGAAACATAAAAAAGATAAATACCGGGAATGAGCTGGGAATTAATATCCAATTGACAGGAATTTCATAGACTCTCAATCGATACATTTTACGCATTTCTAAATAAGACAACTTGTAAATTGCAAAAAATCAAGTGTCATTAAGTCGAAAGTGTTCATATTATACTTTTTTTCATATTTCGTATTGAACATTCAGTCTTACTTAATATCCATCTATTTTTAAAACATTTTTAATTTATTTATAACATAATGACTACAATATATTTTGGTGACAATATTTTATGTAACAGTTTATTGATTTGAAAATCCTATTTTAAAATTTTACGAGTTTCAATTTTTATTGGCGGTGACATTCAGCTTATTACATAATAATGTCTTCTTAAAATCATCAGACATGACCGTGAAAATGTTGTTTTTTAAAAAACTGTCACAAAAATACGTCAACTGGTTAAACCTTTAATTGCTATTGTAATTATCTTACATGGACCCGTACTACACTTCAGTGTTATTATATTTGGGATCATTGATTGCATCACTTTTCAGTGTTGACAATTTAGTACAGCTCAAGTCGGTGCTAGGGGCGTAAGGGATGTTGCACTTTTTTAAAGTAATTTCGTTGTAATTTATGCTTCAAAGGGATCACCCTTTCTCCAGATCGTTGTGTCTATCTTTCATCCTGGACTAATTCAATAATCGTTTTAGAGATATCTTCAAATTTAATATTGAATTTAAAGCGAACAGTCCAGACCATAATCAATGATGTTGGTCGGTACTGGTCACATGGGTAGAATCTGTTTGTATCAGTAGATTACGAGTTAGGACATGAACAAAAATACGTCAGCTATGTTAAAAAACAAAATAACAGTAAACCTTACCAGAGTTTACAAGACCATTCACCACTAGCAACAACACACCTGCAAAAGAAAAAGAAACTACAATGTATATGTATATTTAACTTGAAGCCAGAACGAACATTTTGGGTTAATTAAAAAGATTATTCGCAATATCATTGCATTGAAACAATCCGGACCATTAATTATGTTAAGAAAACGTTTCCATGATGACATATACTAGTAAAGAATAAAACTTAAAAAATGTTTTACTAAGAACATGACTAAATTCAACATAATGTTAAAATTGTCTAGTGATATGTAAATTTCATGTGGTTCTCCTAGTGTTAGGTAAAATATACGTGCTTTACCTGACGTAAGGTGATTTGTGTGTGTTTTATATGTTGTTATATAAATATATGTGCTTTACATGGCGTTAGATAAACCGTATGTGCTTAGACTGTGGTAAGGTGCTTTTCCTAGAGTTAGGTAAGCCATATGTGCTTTACCTGGTATTATTTTTTTTTAATATAAATGTGGTTTATATGTTGTTATGTAAATATATATGCTTTACATGGCGTTGGGTAAACCACGTGTGCTCTGTCTGTTTTAAGGTATAATATTGTGTTTTACCTGGAGTTACGTAAATCATATGCGCTTTCCAGAACCATTCCATTGAGGAGTGACGTTTTAGCCTTAGCCTCATGACGTCATGAATCTTTATTTTTTCCCTTTATGTCTGAAAACAGAATATCAATAAGTTCCAACAACTCTGTACATATACATTTAAATATTATGAAAAAACAACATAACTTGATATAATAACTTTATTCTGGTTTCAATTTAACTTAGTTTTGAGTTATTTTACATTTTATCTTGTCATTACAACGGAAGCAAACCAGATTTTAAATTAAAGTAATTACCATCGTGGTTTACCTTTCAGATATAATATGAATTTCCTGTTGTTTTGTTGTTTAACTATTTAGATTTAAAATCATAGTCATATAACTGTGTTTTTACAAAATATAACCAGTATTGATTACAACTATAGTTACATGTTTACATTTTATTAATTTGTGTAACAGGAACTTTTTATTATACCTCACTTGATTTCTTTACAATTTGGCCTAATGTGACATCAGAGGGTAACATTCCATATTATTACCCCTCACATTTGTGTAATGTTAATTTCCCAAAGGTCAATGGTGGTTATTCTTACTGTTAATTCAATTGTACAAACTACAATGTTACTAAAAAAATTTGTACTGTTCCATAGGTAACAGTACTTTTTTAAATAAAGATCTGAAAAATAAAAACCTAAAAAATAGAAACAGTGACTCACGGGGTAATAAAATAAGTAACCGTTTTTACTCACAAACCTGTGTGTTATTTATGTATTTCATTACCAGGAACAAATGCTTTAACATTAGGAATTTGATTAGGACACTGTTTTTATAGGTTTTTATTTAAAATGTTAAATGTCAACATTACAAAACGGCACTGCCGGAAGTTGTCACTTATTTAGTTAGAGATATTTATTCTAATATTGATTTGTTCTGTATAATAATATAAATATAACATCCCACTGAGGGTGATAGAGAAAACTGTCCACCCTTAATAAGGAAATCCCTTTTCGCAGGTGAAAATTTCTATCAATCATCATACTAAAAGATGATTTATTCCAATGTGTTTCCATGCTAGTTTAATTATGATGTGTATAATTGAATATAACAGGTAAAATTATGACAAATCAAAGTGCTGTATTTAATTCTTAGTCAAAGGATGATTTGTTGTGAATACATTGCTGGCTTTATATGACATTTTTGCTTGGACAATTTCATGATAAAACAGTCATTGTGGCTCGTAATTGTTCAAATATAGTTAGAATAATAGGTGACAACTGATCCTTTTGAATATTAAAGCCTATAACAAATTATTCTCATAACAATAACTATACTTATTTCTTGTGAAAAAAGCACATAAAGTCAAAGTCACCGTTTTGAATGAAGTAATAACATGTGTGTCAGGTGAACACCATGGCGACTGTTAAATATGATATGACTATAGAAGATACAGAAATCAATTTATATACTTCGCTTGTCTACAACATTCTTCACAGAAAATATTTGAGCCACGTCACGACAAAACCAACATAGTGCGTTTGCGACCAGCATGGATCCAGACCAGCCTGCGCATCCGCGCAGTCTGATCAGGATCCATGCTGTTCGCTTACAGACCCTATAATAAGTAAATAAACTTATAGTGAACAGCATGGATCCTGATCAGACTGCGCGGATGCGCAGGCTGGTCTGGATCCATGCTGATCGCAAACCCATTATGTTGGTTTTGTCGTGACGCGGCTCATTTCTCTCCTGTAATTGTACTTATTTGTTTCTCTGAAAGGCAATTATCTAATTGAACTCCTGTGTATTTTCCTATTCCGTGAGGATATCTAAATCTAAAAACAAGTTTAGTTAACTTCTATTTATATGTCAACAAGCCAATATATTTGTGGCTATTTTAAGATAACCTAATTGTAATAATAAAAAATATCTAATTAATCAACAAAATTGACAGATGCTGTCTCATTGCGTGATTCATTAAACCAAAACAAGTATCTTTTTTTCTTTAATTTTTACATCATAAGTTAAAAATGTATTTTCATTTGGTATAAAGAGCACATTTAAATTACAGATTTTTTTCTTTGTTGTATTTATGTAAAACGTGTGCACACTAATGAAATCGTTGTAAAATCCATATTGAATTATCTAGAATTTATATCAATCTTTTTCAATTCAATGACGCAATAAATTATGAGCAGACTTTAAAAGTCGATAACATTTGATGCATAAACAATAATGTATAGAATATCATGACACTGCTCTTATTGGAATAATGTTATGTAAACATTAGATGTTGTTAACATATACAATGGCTTTTCTAAGATCTTCAAGGTAAAATATTTTGAAAAAAGCTCCCAATATCACTATAAGAATCTTGAAAAGGGGAATCCCGCAAGACCTATGTAAAGAAAGTAAAATAGTTGGCACCAAGAGTATTTCAGTAAATGATCCCGAAGGACCTGAAAACTATAACGACACGGGCATAAAGTATGGAACAACATGAGCACATGACAACTTTCGTTGTGAGTAAAAAAAACTGTGGAAAAGTGTAGAACTATTAAAAGTAGTGAAAACAAAGCAACTAGTTTACAAATGCAGAATTTTGTAATTACCAATACCACGCATGCCCTCTAGGAACGACTTAAGCGGTATGCAGTCCTCAACAAAGTAAACCGTGTGTCTGAAAACTGAAATGAATTGAATAAATATTAAAAGTAGCAAGGCCAGAAATGAATAAATGCACAAATGTTTGCAGTTTTGTTACTCTTATTTCCAAAACAGAAAACAAAGCCATATTATCTCATACACTCGGTTTATATTTTTAGTTGTCTTCTAACTATAACTATTGCAATATCAATTTCATGGCACTTTTATTCTGAGTTTGTTCAGTTAATAATTTAGTTGAATTTAAGAGCTGATTAAATTCATTGGTTTTCATATTGCCATCAATTCTTTTCATAAAACACATAAATATTTCATAGGTAGAATATTACATTGTAATATTATATTTGTAAAAACAAAGTGAAACTAAATTTACATAATACGATACATGTATTGCTCTATCTAATGATAGAATTCTACAACGTGAACCTGCATGGTTATTTTAAGACAAAAACTTACATTCAAATACATTTCAAATACATTCGGTTTAAGCGTAATTATAGAATGTGTATGCTATACTAATATTTAAGAATAAAGTCATAGTTTGACACATTTACAAGAATGGCAAGATTTACTTAGTGGATATAAATGTAAATGTGAAGATAATGTATCTACATCCAGGTAACAATAGGCAGTCGTTTCACCTTATATGACCATTAGTTCCATGAGACGGAGTTGGGAGGCGTTTCAAATAACAACGATATTATTATTTACAAACAAACTTAAAATAATGATTAAACTTAAATAGAAACAAAAAACAGTTGTTGTAGTGGCACTATGGTGGTGTAGCTATGTAAACACAATGTTGATCCCATGCATGTGCAAGTAAGTGTTCACATGACATACTTTTTGTTACCATACTAAGAAATGACACTAACTTTTGTCGTGTAGAGATTCCTGTAATTTTGGTGGTGCTTTGGTGGAGACGATAAGTTGATGATCAAACTAATAGTTTCCTCTTTCGCATGAAACTTAAAAATGGCGACTAATTAATTCTTTATCAAAGGAAACTCTTGATTCATAACTTTCTCACTGGTCTTATTTAATGAATGGGGATATCAAGTTCAGTCTACTGTATTCTGATCTTATCTCATTAACATATGAAACCATAATGTTATTGTTCATCCAACTATTTACAGTAAATCTCCCCGGAATATCAATCGTGCTGAAATTAAAGCTCTTACTGTCATCCTATATTTAGAGCTTATGATATATCAGTACATTTTATATAACAAAAACTTGCACTAATGAAAAGTTAATGATGACCATCAGATCTCATTCATCACCATTGATTTATTGCGTTGGCAGTTTTAATTGAGTGTCGTTGTGTGTTTGATTTATACGATATCAGTAGAGGATAATATTTATATGGTATTTTCAAATGGCCATCTGTTCATTAATAAATAATAATTACACAATATCATACATCATACAGGTAAGCAGACACATTATGTTGCAGTTTTAAAACAAATTTACTGCTTCGACCGTACATTTGCCATTATTTGATATTACGATATTTATCACAACATAACAATGTTCAAGATCCACTATGCTCATATTATTGACTCAATTGTACATTACCTTTATGTGAAACAAAAATAACAATATAAATACATTATTTATGTTGCCATGGAGATATTTTGTAAATTTTCTTTTCATTAAGAAGGTTCAGAGACTTTGTTATGTCAGAAAGAGGTTTTGCCTGTTTTGTCACGCAATCATAAAAAAACCTTAATGACAATAGTTACTGTCATGACTACACATTAGCCGCGTCACGACAAAACCAACATAATGGGTTTGCGACCAGCATGGATCCAGACTGATTGAGTAAGCTCAGTTCATGTCTGCAATCTACGGTTCACGCCCTATAGCACCGGCTGAAACACAACCCAACATTCAAACATGAAAATGGTTCCCAATTAAGACTTTAGAATGGCGCGAAGATGTATTCCTATGGCGGTGATCATGGAAATATCAATGTGATACTGTGACTTCAACGACAAAATAATGGACCGAACACATTTATGAAACATTTTCCAGAAATACTTGATGTAGCCTTAACTTAGTAGTATAGTTATTTTGATAAAGTCTTAGTTAATTCACATGTTTGTTTACGTATAGTAGCAATCTGAATACAATTAAACGTAAAACGTTTATTTGAATTACAAATAATTCTCCAAAAATATCATTTGGTGGCTACCTATATAGAATGCCCATACACTTTTTACATGTGTTTATAACGCATGATCCTGTCGATATATACAGAATTCCAAATTCAGATTAGATCTTTTATTTCTTTACAAGATATGAAGAAAAGAAACGGATACTTAGTTAGGAAAATATTTTTTGTTCAATTTCAAAAGTCCTGTGTACATGTTTACAGACTACACTTATTTCATATTTCCCCTTTTATGCTTAATTTGGTCAGATTTTATACGAAACCAAAGACTTCGCGTGTTGAAAGGAATCAAATTGAGTGGATTATTAATTATGTTTTCCTTGCTTGACGAAATTTGACGTCAATGTCACGCGACATTGCTTCTTTTTAATAACAAAAGTGACTGTTATTTTCTTATACAACATTAAAATTATGTAATTAAGTAAATGGCATGTGCAAAGTTTACCTTCACATTTGTTCACTATAATATATACGTTAGAAAAATAATTTATAAATTAATAATACTATTTTGATGCCAAAGAATAATATATTGTACATGTATCAATGTATATTATTAACTTTAAAAATATTTTGAAGTGATGTACATTTAAAGAATAAAGATATGTAATTAAAAAGCGTGTTCTTTATATGAACTTTCTTGACAGACATAACTTGGTTACTAAGTGGTATAAATCCCGGTCAATAAATCAACCATATATTCAACAGTGTTTAACTGACTGGTTTTCAATTGTTAAAACATGTGATAGTATGTTAAATATATAATTCGACGAAGTGTCCGTAATTATAATAAAGATTTCAAGTACATTATAAGCAAAACAATGTTTGCATGCAATTTAGTATAAATAATTGAATTTTCATTTCGTGAAGGCATGAACATGAAGAAATATGAACAAAACACAATTTCTAATGTCAAACCAAAATTATTAACTGATAAGAATATTAAAATAGTTTAGCTATGTTTACATTATTCTTTTTCTCACGGAGTCAATATGATTTGGCTCTTTACAACAAATTTTACTATTTTTATGAACATTTCTAGAAATATGTCAATACAATTTTGACTTCTTGAAAGATATTGTTATATTGTTTACAATTTTGTACTTGTTTGTCTTGATATTTAATTCAGATTAACTACTAAATAAAACCAGTAATTGAAGAATAACTTTACATAATAATGAATATTTGTGAAATCACTTTTATTCCTTAATGAAAATATTTATAAACCAATTAAGGCGTGGACTGATCAAATCGTTAATTTATATATATTGTTAACGGCTCTTTTACATAAAATTACAATCAAATATTAGAGCAATTATACAAAAGTTACCACAAAATCAATGTAGTTTTGAAAATTTAAACACATACCTCAACCATTAGTATCCATTAGGCAATATTGCAAAGGTTATATCTAGTGTGAGACACTGTATCGCACCTGTAACACACTCTTATTGACGGTGACTCTGAAATGTGTTAATACAATGAAAGCGCGACAGTTACTGCAACACTCGTTCAAGTTATCCAATATTATAACCGATATTGTTGGACTGCTTTCTACGAGCGCTGCTCTCCCTCCTATACTATACTAAATATGTATTGTCTGTTTACAAAAGTCATAATATTGTTTGCTGTAAGTATCATGGTAGAAACATGTTAAGACATCAAAAACAAAGATTCTTGCCTTCGTCATTCCGTTTTAAGTAACCATATGTTCAGTATTTTATCATGAAACAAAATAGAATAAGTAATATTGAACCAACTTGTTATCAGTCTCTTTAGATATTTTTTAGTTTTAGTATTAGGAAGCCATATTGTTTTATCGTGTACTTTTTCATATAAAATTAATGTTTCCATGACAAATTGTTCATAGAAATGTGTATGACATGTGATGCCAATTGTGTTATAGTTACTTTACAAAACTCTATATAAAACTTACAACAGTTTTCACGAATTGATTGTATTGTCATTATTCTTTTTTAGGAAATGGCGAAGATGCAATTTGTATATATACAAAAATTCTGTGTCGTTCTATCACACATAAAACGCATAATTTAACAAATTATGTAATTGGATAGATATATAAGGCGCTTATTACCTTTATTCTTGTCTGTTTTTTTGTGTGCATTTTAATAAAGAGAGTTAAAAGAAATTTCAATCAATGATAACCCTTTTTTAGAAATGACATCACTGTTTGTTTTGATTAAGATAAACTCCGTAAAGTATGTACGAAAAATAGTACGTATTTGACTTAGCTTTAAAGTTGGTTTATTGTGTAAACTATAAACTATAGCACACGCTGTTCTGATACATATTCAGGTAAAAAGGAAGGTTGATAAACGGAGATGACATAGCAGAAATAACAGCACTAAACAAAACATTTGTAGACTTGGTCTTATCAGACCGGTGAAGGAAATAAATATTCTAAAACGCGAAAACGTTCGCATGTACCCTACCGATTTAGTAAGTTAAAACCAATAATATCCGAAAATTGAAATAACACAAATTTGTTTTTTTTTTTATTATAATTTTTCTTATTGCAAAAATAAATAAATTCGAGACAAATATTGACGATCAAGGTTCGAGGGAATTGTTTCCTATTAACAGAACACTTTAAAGACTGCAGCTGTTACTTTATCCTTTGTTGGAAGCGTCCATAGCAACCAATCTTTATCATTTGCAAAACTTAAAATCCGTTGCTATGGTGGTTAATTAACAACAGGAGATGTAATAAGCATGTATCGACTTTAGTCTGAATTGAAACAAATGCATTTAGATCCTTACAAGAAAAAAGATACAATCAGTCTCGTAAGACCTTTGATGTAGCGTAGTCTTTTAGAAGATTTTGATTTGTTTGTTGTTGTTTTTACCAAAAGAGATCACAAATGCTGCCTGCTGATTTAAATGATATATACTACTAATGATACCGTAATAATATAAGAGACGAAATCATGATTTCAGTGATCTTACAAAAAGAAAAGGAACAACGAACTTATCCGTTTAAAATTCATTATTGTTCAGGACATTGCCTTCCCTGTCCTCTTATGACATACATAAGTGTATTGGAATTCTTTATTGGTTAAATGTTTAGGTTGTTTTTATTAAACTATCTCGATAAGAGACATTGACGAAAAAAAAAAACGTTATCAGATTTTTTAAATACATGTTCATATGAACCTTCGTGTGTTTTGTTTGCTGCATGTTGCAGTATAATACCGTATATATTTGTTACAGACTTATTTGATAATGAATGTCGAGAAGATATCCAGCGAACTTGAGCTTACATAATCTACGTCACAAAATCTGTGTTCTATTAGAGGTGTATGCGGTCTTAATCAAGGTTAAAGCGTTGCTGCTGTGGCTTGAGAACTTTAAAGACAGTACCACTCAAATTCAAAAAGTACATTTCGTTTCTAATATCTTTATTAACAGACAAAAGTGTATTTCCATCAAAATACGATGTCTTCAGTCGACTGACCTTTATTTTAAATTCCATCCACATTGTTTTTATGATTTGGAGTTATTTTCATTACATGTTTATTTTTTTTGGTTATTTTAATTGGTCAATTGTATTAATAATGATATAACATGTTGTCTGATATTCAATATTTCATAGTTCTAAATTTAAATTATTTTTCGGCCGAAGGCTATTTGTTTTTACTTTGGGAAAACAGATGCACGAGCTATTTGCGATCCTTTCAACTAGGTAAATTTACCTTACATTCGCCATTTTTCTTTCACTCTACTTTCTTTTCGGACAAATTTTGCTATTTCATTAGATAGATAAAAAAACAAATAAAAACAATTAAGTTATATTCATGTTTTGTTGTTATTGTTGAGTTTAAATGTATCAAAACTATAAAATATAAGAAAGTACGATAAATATCAAAGCTATAGTAATGTTATATTACATTCAGTATTGTTAAATGTTTTATTTTGTAAGTTTGCAGAAGATAGTATTTGTTAACAAAGATGACATGCGTTTTCGGTTTTTTATTCCCCTTTACTTGTTCTGTAATTTATTTTCCTTGGCATCAAACACTTTAGCAATATTTTCCAATCCCTTGCAATATAAGACCAGTCTCCCAACTCAGAAAAAAACAAAAAAAAACAGGAGCAATTGCCAATATTTTTGCATTAATTAACTAGTAATCATCAGAAAATACACAACAAAGGTTAACATGTATATCCTAATTATAAATGTTTTTTGTTATGAACACTGTCGTTGATGTAACATTTCGACGTACATATATAGCAACAGCTCGGTTACGGTTAACACTTCTTGAATGAATGAAATTGAAAATTAAAAAGAGAAAAGAGTGATGCTGCTTTGTCAGCAGCACAAAAAACGCGAAACCATTTAAAGAATCTAATACAACAAAATCGCTAAAATTAGATAACTGCATAAATCGCGGAATTTTCCTTATTCTATAATAACCTGATATAAGTTATTCGAAACCATATGAGTATTTAAACAGTAAGTTATTCGAAACCATATGAGTATTAAAACAGTATAATGATCATTTGTAACGAATAGAGTAAGCCTGAAAATGACAAAACATTACGTCACGTTGCATAGCATGAAAAAATTGTTGAAGTGTTATTTAACTTTTACAATGATTGTTATTATTCTTGACTCAACATAAAACATGTCAGTGGTCAATTTATATCTAGTATAGTTTATAAAGAGATGACAAGGACTGAAGGGAGACAAACAGCAGTTGCTACAGTGCACAGGGAATCACTACATTAGCGACATGTACAGTTACCATGGCAACAGATATGAAGACAAAGTCGAGCGATTCAAGTGCTGTGATATGCCTGGAAATGTAAATCTGTTAATAATAATACCAAATCAAACCATAATAGAATATACTCTTCGCCATTTTATGTGTTTTTCTGGGGTTTTTTTGTTTTTGTTTTCTTTTAATGTTTTAGTCAATTTACCTCTTTCTTAAGGAATATTACATACGGACGGTTACGAAGTTTGTCGACATCTTACGTCTACTGGTGGCTTGAATATACATTTTATTGGTACCCATGAGTGTAATATATATCATAATACCATAAAGAAAAAATGAAATATCACGTTATTACACTGTAACCATTGTATATATACACAATAGAAAATATAACTTTAAACTGTATATTTCACCGTGCGTTAATATGCCCCTTCTTTATTAGATATATAAGTGACGGGATGGGATGGGGAGGGGCCTTCAAATAATAGAATTATCAGGATGCAGTCAGCGGGCCAATAAAAATATTATGGCGGAGACGTCCGCAATATACAATCCGACTGCTGGATATTTTCAGATTATCTGATTTGTTATTTTAAGTTTATGTTATATAATTTCTTTGTAAGTACATATCTTTCCGGTTTTTTGTTGTTGTTTTTTTGTAATTAAATGCGCTGTTATGACAGAAACGGAACACAGCGCCTCGGACCTCACAGCTTAACAGTGAACCCGCATTTGGTTTCAAAATGAACTGGCCAAAAATGTATTCCATGAAAATGAATATACCAATGAGACTTGCAATATGAAAATTGACAAATATTTACATAAATAAATAACATGTGATACAATCATTGAGGTAAAAACAAATCAATGGAACATCTCGGTTCTGTTGAAACTTACTATCCGAATAAATAAGCTTCAGTTGAAACACGATTTAAAGAAAAAGGCAAAAGTTATTTATTAAAAATACTGATTTGTTTCTATATGTCACTTTGTTACAATATTCTTACAGTTATAACATTACTATCAATGTATTTAAGCACTGGAGTGTGTGTGTTTGTTAACATTTACAGCTGCTTATAAAAATAAAGAAGATATTTTGTATTGATTCACGACACTCAAACTTATCAAAGATCTTTTAATGTTTTTTATGTTTGATTCATACATTTTTTATATTTAATCGACAATTTTGTTTTGCTCTATAATTGAATTTTTTTATTCTGCGTGTTTTCAGAATATGTGAAACATCCACAGCTCCGCAAATGTATGAATGTCAAGATGTTTCTAGTATTTGGCATACTTAAAATACATCTTTGCCTTAAATTAACATTTCTAGGCTTAGATTCAGTATTTCTCAAGCCAATTAGACTTAAGTCTAAATTATATATATTTACTATTTATATATGTATATATAATATGCTGTTAAAAATGATGTTACTGGATGAAATTATGATGGCTTCCCACGTTTAAATATGTAATGTTCTTCATCGGTCACCTGATGATATTAGTGATTAGTGTATCATTCTTAGACCTATATTGATATAGATGAAACTGGTAATATTGTAAAAACATCTTAATATTGAGCTGGTATTGTTATGTAAGATTTTGGGTGTTTCATTTATTCGGGATATTTGCCATTAAGATTGCGGATACCACTTAAATATTGAGGGTAATTGACGTTTAAAAACGATTTTTATGAGCCAGATTGCGCATTTGAAGTAATTTGCACTGGATAAGGTTTGCGCATTTGTTTTAAAAGTGTTAAGCGTTTAATGTAAA